AAAAAAAAAAAAAAAAACGGCAAAGCCTCCTCTCGGATGCGCGAGATCATGACGATCGTGTTCTTCCTGGTCAGAAGGATGTTAAACCATGGAGAGCACCAACAACCGACAACTGTCTGTTCAAATGGTTGAGACTGACCCTAGGATTCCAGGAGGAGTCAAAGTTCGAAACACTGAACCTGGGTCCAAGGTCCAGCCGTCCTCGCAACGCGTTGTGTGAGGAGGTGCTGAGGAGCTCTGAAGCTACACTGCTCTCTTGTATCCCTATCTGAGCGGGAAAGGGACGGATGGCTGCCGGAAGAAAACAAATCTCATCTTGGAAACTTATCACACACGCACAGGTGCCTGTTTGCATCTGTTGCTGTAGCCTGAGTTCTGCTAGCCAAGAATCAAAGAGTTGAAGCCTTGTTCTGCCGCGATGTCATAGGCAGTCTCCCCAATCGCATTACTGTCATTCAAAGAGGGAAGCTGCGGAAGCTTCAGTGCGTTTTGTTGAATGATACAGCCCTCCTGAATATATGAATGCTACCACTTAGGGCTCCTGATGTCCACATCCACATCCTCCTGCAGCAGCCAGGCGACCAGGTCCTGCTGGGCCTGTGGAGGGAAAAGCTCGTGACTCTCAGACCAAAGACACAAAAAATACAAGCGACCAGGTCAAGGGACTGCGGCAAGGGCCAACATCAACGCCGTGTTCCTCTGAGCAACAAAAAACTCACTTGCCAGTGGCCAACAGGCAGACAAGCGTCCTGCCAACTGAGCATTTACGCTAGCTTCAACTGTATGACTGACAGATTGCTTGAATTCAGCTGCTCAAGATTGAAGCTAAGCCGCCCATTCTTCTCGACCTCGTTGAGGTTCGCTTGTCGCCTGCTTCTACCCATGGCTATGTTGGGTGCTCAGATATGGATGCTAATGCTACATCTTCAGAATTGCAAAAACAAAAAAAACAAAAAGGCAGGTGGGCCGACCGAATGAGCTGCTTGGCGGCCATGGTGTTCCCCCGCACTGCAGCAATCATCAGGGCTGAGATGCCTGCGAAATCTGGAAACAGGACGCCACTTCTAGGAGCTTGAGCTGGAGCCTTCAGACGTAGTTTGTTGAGGTGTGGCATGCTTGCGCAAGAGAAACTTCACAACCTCCTGTCAGCAAGGTAGCTGCAAACCAAATCAAAGCAGTCTGTCTCGGCATACTCGCCTGCTTCCCGCGCTCTGCAGCATAAAAAAGTGCGGTCCACTGGCGTCGATCCTTGAAGGGCTCAGAGCTTCAGGTCAACCAAACCCGTGTCTATTTACATTGGGGTGCAAAGTGTCAATTCCGACAGGAACCAAAACACAATTTCTGGTGCCGGCTGCGCGCCTGTAGGATGATCTGAGCCCCGGCCTGCTGAAGAACGACAGACGGCAAATGCTCTTTGTTCGGCAGATCTGCAATCTATAGCCCCTTGCAGCCTTGCCTCCAGAAGCAAGGGCGGGATCTCTGCAGAAGCATCCATGCAAGCTAGCCTGAAAAAGCAGGCATGAATCTCTCAGAAGCCCAAAGCACCAGGCCGGTTTAGAGGTACTGGATGGCTAAGGTTCCGGCATGAGAGGTGTGCGGCCCGCCACATCCTGAAGCTCAGCTGCCCTGTCTGACTATTCTGCTTGCACAGTTGGCAGGCGAACAGATTTGATTTGGCGAAGTCCACGATAGGACTCCACGCGACGGCAGTGCGTGCAGTAGACAACTAGGTTCTGCCATGGCTTCACTGGAAAGAGGTCTGGAGAGGGTAGCAAAGTGCTCTCCTTAGCCTGGGCGCGGACTCCTGCTAGCTCTTGTGAAGGCGATCCCGGCAGCAAGCTAGATGAGGCAAAGATCAGCGAAAAGAAAGGCCTGTGTGTCCACAGCAGCCCGCTGCTGCAGTAGGAATTCAGCAGCCTTGCTCGGACAGGTGTTCAAAGCGAACCCCGTTTCAGACCCAGAAAACACCACGTTGAATGATGCCGGACAACACAGATGGCAAGAGAGTGAGAAAGGCATGAAAAGCAGAAGACCGCTACAATGATACTGCTGAAGGACCGTGACCTTGTTTTGCGGTTGCGCGATAGATGCCTGCGTGGCGCTGTTTCGGCAGGCGTGGGACAGGGGCGTCCAGCCAAGGCAGTCCTCTCTGGGAGCTGTACTACCCACTATATACATTCACTACATTAGATCTGAATCGGAACAAGCCAACTGATCGCTTGCTGCCACGAAATGACGTCCTTGTTCTCAATGCCCATTTTGGCATCCAGGAGGAAACGCAGACAGCTGACCTGGCATGAGTTCGTCTCCAAACAGTTTTGCTAAGCATGCACACACATGGTTTGAGCTGTAGCAAGTACTGTAATCGCATTGACTGGCGCATGTTGCTGACAGATTGCTTGTAAACTTACATGCTGCTGCGGCTGACGTGCGGTGCGGACAATTTGCAGCCTTGTCTGCGTTTGAACACAGTCGACCAAAAACACTATGAACACCATTCGGCACATGAGGCCATCACTGTGGCAGAACTCTTGGATGCCGCCGCCAACATCACGACGTCCTGCAAATGCTCTGTTGGTTTGCTAATTGCAAAAGTCTCTGCTGTCTTCAGTACCTGTCATACTTTCGTATTTGGAGCTTGCGACCTTGCTTCCGGACCGGATGGATTCGGATAGGTGGAGAAGCCGTTCTTGGATCAAGCTGCTTGAGCTTCTGGAAGTGAAAAAGCCCTCCCTTGCAGAAATATATTGGGAGATCTCAGGCGAAAAGCTACATCCACAAGAGAGTCGGCTGGTTGAGTCGGACGCGTAGCCTTGCATCAAGAAGATAAAAATTGGTGCAGGCACAAACACTGCTGCTGCAAGCTGACGGATAAATCATGTCGCACGGAGGACAGAAGTTCTGAGACTGTTGGAAGCAGACTCCTGACCCCGCAGGGTTCGCAGCGTCAGGTCAACACCCTGCAGCATTGGTTTCATTGAGCATGCAGGGCTCAATCCCGTGACGTGTCTAGCTTTTGGGGCAGAGCAGCCAGCCATCATCCCAAGCTTGCAATGCTCAAGTGCTGGCCTCTTCAGCAAAGTCGACGACTTTTCCTGGCAACAAGACACAAGCATACAGACAGGCTTGCTCCATAGATGAAAATGAAGGAATAAAGAGGATCTAGCACGAATCTAAGGTCAAGGATTCAGTGACCTTGGCCACACCATTTCAGATGGTATCATGCGAGTCAATCATACAACGCTGCCGCGGGAGACTTGGGTGTTCAGATGTTCTGGGCAGAATCCGCATGCCACACGGGATCAGACCCAGGCCCCTGGCTACATGCTGAACGCATGCTGGAGGCAAGCGGCGGAAGTCACCTACCCGAAGAGCCTGGACGAAACCTGGCTGCAGCTGTTTCTGTGCTTCCCGCATTCAACATCATGACGACAGGTCTCCCAAGCAATGGCTGCTGTGGCCTCAAAGTATCTGAAATCTGGCACGACCCCAAATGAGAAGCCGCAAACAGAAAATGACGCGAAAGCTTGCTGCGCCTTCAATTCGCTTCCGCTCATCCTCTGCCTGATCCCGGCCGTCACGGGGAGAGTAGCTGGACCTTGCACATAGCTGTGAACTGCAGCAGGCCTGTTCCAGCTTCGGCATTGAGAATCTAAGCTGGCAAACACCTGCCCATACATATACGTTATTCTGAGATTCAAAGTCCTTCTGCCTGCACCGCCAGAAAAAAAAAAAAATGTTCAGTTCAGTGGCACTTTCAACCGCACGGTGAGTGGGTGGGCAAACTCCCTGCTTGTTTCCTGGGCTGGCAATGCACAGTCAATTTCACATCAGAGGCAGCATCTCCAGAATACAGATATCATGAAAAAGCTGGCAGTCCATATAACAGGATCGGATGGAGTACCACATGCCTCTGGATGATCACGACTTGAACATGTAGTTGCTCTTAGATCCGACATGCTCTTTTGGAACTTTATCCTTGCTTCAGATTAACATTCACGCAAGAGTTCAGATTTTTTTTGCTTTGTAAAAGAATCTACTTGCTGCAACTGTGCAACCACATGCCTACCTCGATCCTTCTGTGATCCAATACATGTCTTCTCCTTCTCCGCACGCGTACCACAGCACGCGGCTTACTACAGGTTCCTGTACAGGTTCCTTATAAGATAATTGCAGAGGTGCGGAATCTGATGCAGTGAGTTCTGTGCTTCGGAACCTCATGAACAGGGCCACGGCTCCTCACCATCGGACAGGCCGTGGAGGAGGTGCCTCAACAGGACGTAGACCCTACTTCAGAAAAAGAGCAGAGCCAAATCAACTCACTCAAATCCTTGAGCCAATCCTGCCCCAGTGCAATCGAGAGGCGCAGCGGCATTTTGTGCTGATTGGTAGCAGTCCTCGCAAGGTCGCACAGTGCATCGCCACGCACAACACTGTCCAAAACAAAACAGCATTTCTCCTGGAGGATGCCAGTTGCAGCCTGGCGCCGGCTCTTCCTCCCAGACTTTGGGGCTCTGCAGTAATAAAAGGCTCAGCTGAGAGCAAGCAGCTTGCAGGACGTCAGTCCATGCCAGAGGGCGAATGACTGCTGAGACTCGTCTCCTTCCTTTGACCACCACTATGAGACTAAGGATGCAGTGCCCAGCAACAACCTCAAATGTGTCGATTCCTGGAGTCACTTCGTTGTAGAGATGGAGCTGAAGTTAGGGTCAGCTCCTTAGTGTAGATGAGCCCAGCATGCAGCATGGCAGTATCTTGCGATTGGCCTTTTCAAACCTTGCGCCCCAGCACCAAAAAGCTTAAGATGAAGACATGATTTCTCTTGCGGCCGTCACACGCTGCAGGTGGCCAGCCCTTGGGCAATTCTTTAAGCAAGTAACATCGGGACAAGTGATGCAGTCGCGCTTGCTTGCGACACGCTGCGTGTCTTCCCTAATAAAGCTTGACAAGGCTCCGCTGTCAACGGCACCCATGATGTCGCATCACTGACAAATTATTAACCGCTGGCATTGCGCTAAACATTCTTGCTCCAATGTCCATCCTCCTTGCTGCTACGCTCGTCAACACTTCGCCACAAGATACAACTGGATGTACATTGGATGTAAACAGCGCTCATCGCGTTCAATACCCTTGTTGAGGCAGACATCGGCGTCTCAAGGTGACTTTTGCCAGCTTGTCTACTGAAAAGGCCACCAGTGTGCTCCAGCTTACGCACTGCTTGCCACGGGAGGTGCAAGACATCGCCTACCTTCTTTGTGGCTGGTTGCTTGCTAAGATCTGAGTCAGACTTGCCCACACATTGAGGACAGCTTTTGTAATAACGGCCTTCCTGGAAACCCGTTGCGACCTCAACTCCCGACTACCACATCTCCTTCTAGCGAAGCATGAAATGTTAACACACACCATGTCGCCTGGGGCAGCAAAGCTGAACCCAGACGTGAAGATTTACGGTCTACTGCATTCTGGTTCTCTGCTC